TTTTTTTTTTTGAATTTTTAAAATTAATTATCATTTTTTTAATTTTTAATATAGACAATTATTTTTTTACTTTAACCCTATTATTATTGTTGAGGTGTGTTGGTGATGTAAGTTGATGAGTTAGTGGTGCAGATGATGTGGAAGTTGACTAGGATGCCATTCGCAAGAAATGAGGAGGGTCCTTTTGGTCGACACCTATTTCATATGCAAGAGGTTATGTGCTATGGGCTGTCTCGTTTTGTCCAACGATGATGGTCAATAGCAAATTCTCTAGCAAAGTTTAAAAGTATAAATTTTCCAACCACGTTGAGAGGGAGAGTTGGCAGCGACAATGGAGTTCCAAAAGACGAGAATGATTATACAACTATCAAAAAATGGTGAAAAAGAGATTTACATTGTAGTACGAGTAGCACGGATAGAAAATGTATAAAGATCAAATATTACAACTTGAGAAGCATACTTATACATAATATATTGAAAAACAATGAATGTGTCCTTTATTATCCCTGACAAATACTCTTACTCTATAATGAGCAACCCTCATGTTGGAGACAAGATGCACAATGACTTCTTTCAAGTTTTCTCAAGAACAAAAGGAATAAACTTGAAAGTAGTGATGGGAGAAGGAAGGATTACTGTTGTGGGAGCTTGTGAATAGAGGGCTTGATCCCCTTCTTGATGCTAACTTTTCAGCTTGATCCTTCGATGCTCAAGAAAATTACCCTAAAACTAAAATTGAAACTGAAGCAATGCTATCTTCCAGCCATAATGTTTTGCAAGTCTGGAAAATATTTTGCAATGCTGGACGTGCAGAAAATGTAATAAAAATGGTGATTACTGGGTTCTTTCAATGTGTATGGGGAGAGGTTGAAGATGAAGAATTTTTCAGAGGAAAAATGGAGGCCTAGTGCGTGAGAAGGAAGTTGGAGTTGTGAAATTTGTTCTAATCTGCTAAAAAATAAAGGAAAAATAATATATATGCAGTGGCACTTTTGTAATTTTTGGGTTGATGGCTAGAGTAACCCAATAGTCTAATGGGTGGATTTGAATAAACTGTCAAGTTTTGAGTGGTTCTGGACATTACTAACAACTTCTTGACGGTGATATTATGAACTATTCAATGGTTCCAGCAAAGGATTGGAGACTACCCATTTCTGGTGATTCTTCCAACCATACGAAATTCCATTTTTGGGAAGGTACTTGAGTGCAACTGGCAAAAATAAGATCTGCCCAAGATTTTGGTAGATTTCCCAAGCAAAATGTAATCTTTTTCAATAGTTTTTAATGTAATGGAACTTATGCAACCACCCTTTTTAACAGTTTCCAATATAGTGTAACTTGTGCAGCCACCTTTGCATTAAATACAGCTGCAAGTTGCTGATGGAGACTAAAACAATATCTTTGGTTAGTTTTTAACAAGATTTCAAGCTTCTAGTTAGCATCAAACGGTGTAGTTTTAGGGATCAGGTCCACCTCCACCTCCACGTCTTCGCTACCCAGCCCTCTCTGGTGAAGTTGGGCAACATCGCCAGCTCTAAGCTTGGTTGGCACGAATACCTTGCTTCACGAGATGAGCAACATTCATCCATCCATGCTTGCCAAGCCATTACTCCCATAATTTATTCTGAATAATTCCCATGAGCTTGGATTCATGGGCTTATGTTTTTCTAGCAACAAGAGCAAGATATAAATGAGTATTTGTTCAAATATTTAAGTGTAAAATATATGAATATATGTAGCGAAGAAGGGTAGTCTCTTGTATATCAAAAGGGACGATGAGAACAAACATTGTCGTGCCCTTTTCTCTACTGTCATGATGAGTACTTGTATAATGCCGTTGTGTATAGCTAGCATTATGCCAAAATAAAAACTGAATAATATAGATGTGTGTTATGATATCATTGTCTTGAGTCATGCATTGCTGGTTGGTGATACCTACTAACATGTGAAATATAAAAGAAATATATTGTGAATCGGGATTATCGACGACTGATAATTTTGTCCCTTTGTATAAAATGATAATGATATACATGATTGCTGGCCATGCAGTATAAGTGTCGCAAGGTTAGCCATGAATAACTTTCCCATAGTCAGAGGGGCAACAATGGCTAGCTTTGCCCATGACTAGAACATGAACTATGTGGAATTGGAAGAGTACTCCTATAAATTCGTCTAATTGTGAAAAGTTAAATCTCATTAAGTCACACTCCACCATAGCGATGAATATGTGAAAAGATTGGTGGAGTTGTCTCTATGAAAGGGAATGCCAACCGCATCCACGGCCTTTGATACAACAAGGTGTGATACCACTGATAAATGCTGGCCCTTATTATCATACCTGCATCGTCAAAGGGTGGTCTTGGTTATTGTTACCCACTAGGCATTGAACCACCATGCACAGGCAACCACTAAAAGATCGTCGGTAGTTACTTGATGGATTTTTATCGTTGGGGGGTAGCTATCCCATCCAATTGTAGGGTTGTAACTGTTACCGGTTTCACGCTAATCATACTGAGTTATGTTGACTCTTTGTTCATTTCTACAAGTCAGTGAGATGAAACATGTAGAAATCTGACCTTTTGTCCACCGTTGAGAGTTGGTATAATGAAATATGTGGAAATGTGTAGCATTTTTCCCATTGCTAAAGGCTAAATAAGATAGTGAATCTGGCACTTTGTCCATCACTGGGAGCTATGTAGATGTAGCCTATTATCCCTTGATGGGAGCCATATATATGTAGCAATGCATATCGCTGTACAGGACACGACTGTAAAAAATGCTCAGCCATGTCGTAGAAATAAATCTAACTGTGTTTAATCATGTATATAAAAATAGATATCGGGGCAGGTTATATTTGTAATATTTCTAGCGAAATAGATGAACATGCTTTTGGCGATGCTGATTCTGTGACAATAATCAGCAAAAAATAAAAATAACATGTCTGACATGGAAAATATATCATGTGGACCCTTGTTGATGCCACGCTACACATGATGTCAATTTTAAAGTGATACAAATTTGTCCCTCAACAATTATTTATTCATTTTAATTAATCATTCAATAACCAAAAATATTTGTCTTTTATTTTTATTTTAAGAATATTATTGATAAATATAAATATTGTTTTTGAATTTTTAATTTAGAAAAAGATTAAAAAATAAACATTATTTTGAGATAAAGAAAATAGGCAAAACCATAAGTTAAGCCCCTGAACCAACCTCAGAATCGCTATTAAGCCCCTAGACTCTAATTGATGCATATAAGCCCCTGAACTCTACAATCCGAGCAATTTTGCCCCTCCTCTCACGGTCAACTTAACTGCTGT